CCGCTGTCAGGATCTCGATTTCCTGTGCTAGTGCCAGTGCGCGCCAGTCCCGTGCCCAGTGTAAATTTAAATAAATAGAGCAGTCCACCCCTGAGGCGGGATTCTGCCCTCCTGCTCCTCGTTCCTCTTCCCAACCGCCAACGGCTACTTCCAATTCACTCTGACACGCTAATCTTGAAAACGTCTCCAACGGAGCTCCGTGTTGCTTCCAGCGCCCTCCCCCGCGCTCCCTGCGACCATGGCCGATCGATGCTCCTAGGAAGAGAGGTCATCTGGCTACCGCGAGAGCGACCCAACTCGTCGACATCGTCCGATGATGGTGCCGCAAAGTCAGCCTTCGGAGGCTATCGTGGCGTCGAGCCGGCAGTAGCCGTGAGATGTGGTTCCACCACCCCTCGTAGGCTTTGCCTCTGACCGCCACCGTTCCCAGGCTGCCTAATGGGATGGAAAGGAAGGCTGGGCGAGCGTATAGAAGCGTGCTCGACCTCGTCGTGGCATGCGCGCGTCTGCAGCGACTTGAAGCGCGCAACGATGGCGCGGAGCGAGAGTTGGCCAGGACGCTGCGAGGCACGCTCTTCTTAGCATATCGCCCGCAAGGATCTCCAGCCAGCGCACCTCCTTAGACAGCACTTGGACAGCACTTGGAGCGCAGTGTGCGGATCGAACAGTCACTGCGACCAGGTTCGTTGTGAAGAGCTCGCGGTGCAGAAGGGCCGTACGGGGACTGGCAGGGCACAAGGAGGAAGGCGCCGTCGGAAGTGCGCTCCGGCTGTAGCATCAGCGCGAGAGTCGCCTGTCTGAGATTCTTCGCCTCTTTGTCGAGGAGCGCACCGGCTGGCCGCAGTACTGTTCCCGCCGAATCGACGAGCCCCTTTAGCCGCGGCGGAGCGCCGTCTGGGCAGACGAGCGGCCACATGAGCGCCGCGTACATCGGGTCGAACGAATCCACGTAGCACGGCTCGTCCTCGTCGCGCCGCGTGAAGAAGATGGTGCGCGGCTGACGCACGCTCGTCGCCGGCTCGACGGTGAAAGCTCGCACCGAGCTGGTGGCGCCCGGCCACTTGAGCACCAGCCGCGCGTTGCTGGTGCTCTCCTCCGCCCAGTTGATGAGCCGTGGCACGAGTGCGTTCTCCCTGCGCATCACGGCGTCAATCGTGGCAAGCGCAGCGGGGCTGGGTCGCAGAGCAGCGGAGTAGCGCATGCAGTCGTCCAGGCGCTCATTCGGGTCGTCGAGAAACGAGCGAGTGGAGCTACGCTCGTTGATGTTGCTGATGATGGCGAACGGCATGCCCGTAACCTTGAGGTGCTGATAAGAGTCGGGGAAGCGATGCGTGCCTGCGGGTTGGTGGACGCGGGGGATGAGTCTCGCGCGTCGGGGTGCGCACGGCGGCGGCGTGCAATGGGCGCGCCTTTTGGCAGCGCCATCTGCGCGAAACGAAAGAGGTCGTTCCCTGCGCGCGATTGCTTCGAAAACCCTGGCGCCTCGCTGATGAGCGAGAGCAGCTCGTTGGGCAGCTGCCGGTCGAGCACTAGGCTGCCATTCTGGCAGCAAATCGACGGGTTCGTGACGGTGAAGCGTTCCGCGCCGCAGTTCATGCACACATCGCGCTGCTCGAAAAAGTTGATCGGATGCGCGGCCTCTAGGTTGTTGAAGCACGTGGCGTTCTGCAGGCACAGCCGGCGGTACTGCACACCCTCAGCCTCCGACGGGCATCGTGGGACGCGAGCCGCACCGACGGTGGTGGGAGCGGCTGCCCACGAGCGCACGTTATACTCACGCGTCCTCATCTGGCCTGAGGAGGAGTCGCGGTACTGGCGCGGCTCCTTCTCCATTGTAAACGTCTCAAAGACCGCGAGCGTCGGTGTCAGCGGCGTGCGGCGTGCGAGGGCCGGCATCCGATCCAGCAATGGCAGGCTTTCACGCATGGCTGGCTGCACGCGCGACGAATCCAACGCCGTCGTCTCGCACGGCAGCAGCCGGCCTGCGCCCTCGACGTGGTGGTCGCGCTGCCCAGCGTGCAACGCACGGTGGCGAGCGAGCCGCCTCGCCAGCCGCATCCTCTGAAAGGCCTCCCATGTGGCATCCGTCTCAGACAGCTCACGAGCCCATTCACGGTACGCCCTCGCGGTCTGGAAGAGATTCCGAGTCGGCCGAGTCAGCCCGGTGAAGTCTCCAGCCTCATCTGACCGATTGATACGCTCTCGACCCACGAGGCCATTTTCGTGTGCCCACGCGAGGTGTGGGTCGCCTGCCAGTGAGCGAGGGACGGGCTGAGCATGTGCGTACCGGATCTGGGCGAATGCTGTGACGGGATGCGCCCGCATCTGAACTGCTGCTCAATGAGAGCCAGCAATGCGGGCGCCACGCTCAATGAGCCTGCTCGGTTTACCGAGGCCGTGCTCTTCGAGCCGACGGCGTGGAAGTCGTGCGAGGGCTATGTGTACGGCGACCGTCACTCTGCATCGCCCGCCACCGCAACTCCTCCGCCCTCTCTGCCTTTGCCACTCTCGCATCGTAGTCGTCGCCATCCGGCCGAACCCACACGCCTC